AAAAAAAAAAAAAAGATTCAGAAGTGGCTGTGGCTTCCAGGACCTGGCAGGGATGAGAAGTAAGAGCTGTACTGAGAAGCCCCCAAGCCTATGTTCTGGGTCCAATGGCCCAGAAAAGAAGAGCTAGACCAAGAAAAGATGAATTAGTTCAGCTGGCTCAAGAGTGCCCTGAGGTCCCTCTGCTGAAGGCTGCAGACCCCTCATCATCTACTTAGATAGCCGGGTTTGTTTATTCTTCTACAAACAACTCTTTACTGAGTACCTCTGAAGTGTCAACAGCCTGAGACTAAGGAGTCTGGAAGGACCAACTTCCCAGCCATCAGATCCAGGCAGGAGGTTGCTGCAGACCCTGAGGGACAGCAGCTAGAAGGAAGTAACTATCCTGTCCCAGCTGGGCCTGCAAGTCTCTGGTTGTCTCCTGAACTGGACTCCTCCATGCCTTATATTTAGTCTGGTAGTGATTTGTGCAGGGGTAAAAAGTAACATGGTAAAAATAGCTTGGCAGGAGGTTTGATCCCCAGGCCTGCTATGCTAGTCCTGCCTCTGGGGTGCTCTGAGATGGCAATTGAGACTGGGTTTGCCTGTAATCCCAGCTCTTGGGAGGCTGTAGACAGGTAGGTCTGTATGCATCTGATCTAGTAGTGAGATCCTAAACACCCTGTAGACTCTTCCCTAAAAAAAAAAAAAAAAAAAAAAAGTAATATGGTTTGGGAAGAAAAGATCCTGAACACAGCCGCTTCCTGGCTTAGAATGAAAGGTCCTTTACTCCTGAGTGGCCTGGAGCAGCCCTTTTGCCTCTTCCCCAGTGTCCTCATCCAGCAGAACCAGTTCTGGACCATGTTTTCCAACATACTGATAACATGGGTCTTTTCCCTTTACTGCCTTCCCTCCCCTCCCTGCAGCTCAGCCCAGAACCCTGGTGCCCATAAGTTTTTCTCCCTCTGTATGCACTCTAAGGGGAAGGGGCAAGAGCTGTGGGCAGAAGGATCAGGCATGGTGGACTGAGGCATGTGGCACAATCTGCCACTAAGGAGTAGTATTTAGTGGTGAAACCATCATTGCTGTCCCGGGAGTAAAGAGAGCATTCAAAGACCAACTCTGTGAGAGCCACAGTGTGACAGACAGAGGAGGCCCAGATGGCAGCAAGGAAATCAGGGAGAGCTTCCTGGTGTAGGTGGAACACAAGTCAGGTTCCAGAGGAAACCAGGTGGTTTCCATCCTCCTTTGTCCATCTGATTGTGCCAACAGTTTTGGCTGGGAAGGAAACACTAAGCTATTGAGATAGGCCCCAGTCTTATCAAACTTAGTGAAACAGAAGAGATCATGTAAGGTCATTGGAGGCCATTAAAGTCAGCACAATAGGAAATAAAAAATAAATAAAACTGACCAAAGTTGATCTACTTTATAGTGATATCATATGCTGACAATTCCAAACAAATGCAGTGACCAAATGTTCCTCACTGCCAGAGAGATGGCACCCATACCATGACAGTCTAAGACCATCAAAGACAATCAGGGTGCCTGACCGCAGTCCCTATTCTTTAGCTGAATGGTGTGGGCAAAAACTTCACGTGGTAAACTCAGCTTCCCAAACTAAAATGGAGAGGGCAATTTACAATGTGTAAAGTTCCATTTTTCCCTCCCACAGGATTATTAAGGATCATAACTGGGTTTGCACATATACAGATCTGAGAGCAGTACCTAGGACATAATAGGCACTCAAATACTGCTAGTTATTATTGGTGTTATTATTCTTTGGGCAAATGTAATGAGACTTCAGTGGCAGTGAGAGCTCTAATAAAGCTGATGCTGGCCAAGAGGTCCCTAAGTTATTATCCGTCAGTTATTATCACTGTGTGACTTACCCCTCCCAAAGGCTGCTAGAGAAAATGCTCTGATATGTGCACAAAATCAGGTCTCTGGGAAAAATTTTCAGCCACAGTTCTCCATGAAAGGTTTGTGATGGGAATTCTAGATTATGAAAAGAGATGCCTAAAAAAGGACCCATCTGGAAAGCTCCAGGCCAACAAAGTCATTGATCAGCTCTGCCAGCAGGCACTGATATTTCTGTAGACCTGATAACACACACGCACAGACATAGGCGAGCACACACACACACACACACACACACACACACACACACACACAGACGTCACACACACATATGTGCTCGCAGAAAACCTATCTTCCTAGAAATGCAGGAAGCTTCCTTGTTTTCTAATTTAACTTAAGTTAGAAAGTACTGCTTTACACAGTGAATGAAGGAATCTATCATCTTAAAGTATCATACCAGATGAAAAAAGTCTTTTACTCTTCCCAAACACCAAATGTTAGGGCCGGTCAGATAGCTCAGTCGATTAAAGTGCCTGCTTAGGCAGATACGGGGGCCATGGGTTTGGTCCCCATCATGCTGTGATGGCCCCACCCCCAGGGCATGCTGAGGTGATGATGAAGACTAGGTGTGGTGGCGCATGCCTGTAATCCAAGCACTTGGGAAGCTGAAAACAGGAGAATCACTATGAGTCTGATCTGTGTAGTGAGACTCTATAGACCCTGTAGACCCTGTAGACAAAAATGCAAAATAAATAAAAACAAAAATAAATAAATAAAATAAACCACCAAATGTTTCAATCAACTCATGGGTGCTCAACCTGTGGTGAGTTTTAGTGAGAACTATGCTTCTGAGTCGCCTTTGGAGGCTGTTCACGATGCAGGACTGTTCCTGGCCCATTCCCAGCAGCATGGACTTCCTTGACTGCATGACTGCATGAGGACTTATCTGAAGCCCATGGGAGTGCTCCCTGGCTGGCCCAGCCTGGGCAGCATGTCCAAGCCAAGATCACCTACATGTCTACGCTCCCTTCAGGGGCCTGGCCCAGGCTGGGTGGTGCGTGGAGCTCTGTACTGGATATGCACATCTGATGAGCATCAGATGAGAAAGCATCCTGCTTGTGCCCTTTGAATCTTGACCCCCAGGAAGGTGGTGTGCATAAGGGGCAGTATGAGCCTGAATGTGCAAGTAAGATGGGCAGCCTGCCCTCTATCTGCTCCACACCCTGGGCCGAGGCCACTTAATCCTGAGAGCTACCTCTCCCGGAGCCTGGCCATCACCTGCTGGCCTTTAACCACAAGTTAGAGCCAGTGTTTATGCAGAAAGCATACTGCCTGACGATCTGCAATCCAGATTAAAATGAGTCAGTCCAGTCTGAGTCCTGGATCTGGTCCTAGCCTTGGAGAAGAAAGGATGCAGGGAATGGCCAATCAAGAGGGGTATGTGTTCAGTGTGGGATGGGTGACAGTTTAGGACAGTGGCTATCTGCTACTTTTGTTCATCAGAACCATCCAAGGAACAAAAAAAAAAAAAACCTCCCCCAGCACCCTTATATCTTCTGAATCTGAATCCAGAAGGCAGGATCTGGGTTTCTGGCTTTAGAAAAACTTACCCAGGTAGTTCTGATGTGCAAGTCTAGGGTCAGAGTGATGAATTAGAGCTGAAAGAAATGCTAGTTTAATGACTAGCCACTTCAGAGACCCCACATGTGGCTTGAAGTTCAGTTTGGCATCATCTGGCTGCTTTCTTGGGTCACTGTCCCACTGCTGGTTTGGTGCCTGGACATAGGAAGTCCAGTTGCATGAATTCTGACTTCACTATGCATCTTATTTCAGTTTCTATAGTGTGACTGGAGTC